ACGGGCCTGTAGTTCCCTGGGTCTTTTTTTTTCCCTTTTTAAAAATGGGGGTGGATGTTGCCCCTTCTCCAGTCAGTGGGGACCTCTCCAGACCGCCACAACCTCTCCAATACGATGGAGAGTGGTTTGGCAACTTCATCCGCCAGTTCCTTCAGGACCCGCAGATGCATCTCATCAAGCTCCATGGAGTTGTGCACCTTCAGGTTCCTTAAGCAGTCTTGAACCTCGTCTTCTCCTACAGTGAGTGGTTCTTCATTCTCCCAGTCCCCGCCTTTGCCTTCTGCAACTTGGGCGGTGTGACTAGAGCATTTTCTGTTGAAGACTGAGGCAAAAAAGTCGTTCAGCACTTCATCTTTCTCCACATCCCTTGTAACCAGGTCTCCAGCTTCCTTCCGCAAAGGGCCCACATTTTCTCTAGTCTTCCTTCTGTCACTGACATACCTGTAAAAGGCTTTCTTGTTCCCTTTGACATCCCTGGCCAGATTTAATTCTATCAGGGCTTTAGCTTTCCTAACTTGCTCCCTGGCTACTCAGACGATTTCTCTGTGTTCCTCCCAAGCTACCTGTCCTTGATTCCATCCTCTGTAGGCCTCCTTTTTCTGCCAGAGTTTGGCCAGGAGCTCTTTGTTCATCCACGTAGACCTCCTGGCGTTTCTGCCTGATCTCCTCTTGGTCGGGATGCACCGCTCCTGAGATTGGAGGAGGTGATCCTTGAACACTGACCAGCTTTCTTGGGCCCCTCTTCCCTCTAGGGTTTTATCCCGTGGTATTCTACCAAGCAGATCCCTGCGGAGGCCAAAGTCTGCTCTCCTGAAGTCCAGGGTAGCGAGCTTGCTGCGTAGGGTACCGAGCTTGCTGCGTCCCCGCCTCGCTGCCCTAGGGATCTTAAACTCCACCATCTCGTGGTCACTGCAGCCGAGGCTGCCCTTGAGCTTCACATTCCCCACCAACCCCTCCTTGTTGGTGAGAACAAGGTTCAACATTGCACCTCTCCTCGTGGGCTCCTCTATCGCTTGGAGGAGGAAGTTGTCCTCAACGCATTCCAGGAACATCCTGGCTTGCCTGTGCCCTGCTGTGTTGTCCCTCCAACAGATGTCGGGGTGGTTGAAGTCCCTCGTGTGGACCAGGGCTTTTGAACGTGAGGCTTCTCCTATCTGCCTATAGAGGGCCTCATCCACTTGCTGATCCTGGTCAGGTGGCCTGTAGCAGACTCCCACTGTAGTGTCACTAGCCCCTGCCCTGCCTTTAATCTTGACCCACAAGTTCTCCGTAGGCTCCTCATCCATTCCCAGGCGGAGCTCCATGCACTCCAGCTGGTCTTTGACATAGAGGGCAACACCTCCACCTCGTCTCCCCTGCCTGTCTTTCCTAAAGAGCCTGTATCCTTCCATCCCAATACTCCAGTCATAGAAGTTGTCCCACCACATCTCTGTGATGCCGATGACATCATAGCCCCACAGATATGTGCACAACTCTAGCTTCTCTTGTTTATTCCCCATGCTACGTGCATTTGCATAAAGGCATTTGAGCTGAGCCCCCAGTGAATCTGCACCGTTGCTGCCGCACAGCTCCCTGTTCCGTACCCTCACTGACTCAGCAGAGCGAAGGTCCTCGCTAGCACACTGTCCACTAGCAGCTGAGTTGCCACCCCCAGGCTTTTCACTAGCTAGCCTGGTTTTATCCCCTTCCCCCTTCCAACCTAGTTTAAAGCCCTATCAATGAGCCCTGCTAACTCCTGAGCTAGGATCCTCTTCCCCTTTTGCGACAGGTGTACCCCATGTGTTGCCAGCAGGCCTGGTGCCATGTAAACTGACCCATGATCAAAGAACCCCAAGTTTTGCCTATGACACCAGGCTTGTATGTTGATTTATTTGAGAATTGACAGCATTTACAGGAATACACAAGTAATTTTGCTCTGTGGAGGCTTTTGCTCATATGTCTACTGAAGTTTGCTATTACATTGTTGTAAATGTTCTTCTGCCTCTAGGCTGTGAACAACTTCAGAAATGGAACTGACTACACCAAAAGGCTCCCTAAGAATATTAAGCAGTAACAGCAGCAGCAGCTGCCACCACCACTCACACCTGTTACACCTCCTGGACCTGTCTGGTAAGTAAATCTGTAGATCAACCTGAATATAAAAGACCCCAAAATGCTGAAGTTCGATTCTTCTCCTTCTTGAGCTTCCCCACTAGCAGATTCTCTATCATTAGTGACAGTTCCAGACAATATTCGAAGTTCTGATTTTTGTTTCTACTTTGAACGAGAACACTTTAGTTGGAAGTGTGCCTCATGCAAGAACTTTTTCTCAGTGGTATTTCTTGTTTGGTTCCCTTGTCAGTCATTCAGTACAGGTTTACCCTGAAAGAGGAACTTGTTTTCCCCAGGAGCCCTTTGATTTTAAGTTGCCAGCAGTTCCTGAAGTAACCATTTCATTATGTCAAACGTCGCTGAGGGCATTCATTTGTCTTTAGCACTGAGGAAATAGTATTTTAATGAGAAGTGTAAAAGCACAATTCTAGGTCAAACTGACCTGGTGTTTTCACATGACTTTTTTCTACAGTATTTCTATCATTAATATTATGATAAATCAGAGTCAACCTCACCAACAAACAGTGTAGCCACTGATGCATACAGAATCACAGAATCATAGAATCACAGAATGTTCGGGGTTGGAAGGGACCTCTGTGGGTCATCTAGTCCAATCCCCCTGCCGAAGGAGGGTCCCCTACAGCAGGCTGCACAGGACCTTGTCCAGGTGGGTCTTGAGTATGTCCAGAGAAGGAGACTCCACAACCTCCCTGGGCAGCCCATTCCAGGGCTCCATCACCCTCAGAGGGAAGAAGTTCTTCCTCATGTTCAGACGGAACTCCCTGCGCTTCAGTTTGTGCCTGTTGCCCCTTGTCCTGTCGCTGGGCACCACTGA